TCGGCGTCCTCCTCGGTAACTTTGTCCCCACACCGGCCCCGCCCTCCATCGCGGCACCTTTTTCGACGTTTCCGTCCCAATAGCAGTTGGACTCCTGGTAATGATGTACCCCATCCTCTGCAAAGTCAAGTACGAGTCCCTGCACAAAGTCTTTCAAGAAAGACAAGTCTGGGTGCAACTTGCCTTCAGCATTGTGGTGAACTGGGTGGTAGCACCGCTGTTCATGCTCGCCTTGTCGTGGGCGTTCTTGCCGGATGAGGAAGGGTTAAGGCAGGGGTTGATTCTGGTTGGTGTGGCGAGGTGTATTGCTATGGTTTTGATCTGGAATAATCTTGTAATTATCCCCTCCCGTCTGAGATCCCACACAGTGATGCTGACGATAAACAGGCCAACGGCAGCAACGACTACTGCGCCATCCTCGTGGCGGTCAACTCCCTCCTTCAAATCGTCCTTTTTGCACCGCTGTCGTTGTTGTTCATACGAGTCTTTGACCCCAACAGCACCACCGCCATCAGCATCTCCTACTCCACCGTCGCGACCTCTGTCGGCATCTTCCTCGGCATCCCCCTCGCTGCCGCGATCATGACCCGCTTTGCCCTCCTCTTTCTCACCTCCCCGGACTTTTACAACAAGAAGTTTATTCCAGTCATCTCCCCCCTCTCCCTCATCGGCTTGTTGTACACCATCCTCGTGCTCTTCGCGTCTCAGGGAAAGCAGGTGGTCCACCAGATTGTCTCCGTCGTGAGGGTGTCCGCGCCGTTGATTGTTTATTTCACCGTTATCTTCTTTGCTACCTTGTTCGCGTGCAGGAGGTTGGGGTATAGATACGAGTTTGGTGTTACCCAGAGTTTTACCGCGGCGAGCAACAACTTTGAGCTGGCGATTGCCGTTGCGGTGGCGGCGTTTGGGGCGGAGAGTGATCAGGCTCTTGCGGCGACGGTTGGGCCGTTGATTGAGGTGCCGGTTTTGTTGGGGTTGGTTTATGGGGTTAGGTGGGTGGTTAAGAGACGGGGGTGGGAGTGATCATCTGTGGTGGTGGATGGTCTGGAGAAGTGAGAGGTTCGGTTGGTGTTGTTGTTGTTGTTGTTGTTTGATGGAGTAATGTTTGTGAGAAGAAGAGATGTATAAAGGTTATAACCAAGAGATAGATACCGTAATCAACAGGGCAAGAGAATGATGATGTCAAGTCGCAAAAAACTTGTTGAAATTATCTTGACTGAGTGACGTTCAGGCTGGCCGAATGACTGTGCGAGGTACCGACGACGATCATAACATGAATATCCCAGTCATGAAAACAACGGGATCACAGGATTTACCCCTAGCTAGAATAAAACCCCATAAAACCCCATCTACTACTACTTTAACATCTCTCCCTCCTAACCGCACTGCTACCCATCATCTCCACCGACTACTGCATTGCTCCTTCCCTACAGGTGACGGGAACGACCACCCACCACGTTGCTTCTTCCCTACAAGTGCACCATGATTTATGTATTAGGTCCCTTTTACTCCTTCCAACAGCAGCTCCAACATCTTACCAGGGCGCCCTTGTGGTATGTCTTTGTAGAATCGACTTACTAACCAGCCTTTCCACCCCCTTCCCAACAACAAGAGCAACTTGCCTGGTAGTCAATAGTATGACAATCCAACCACAGCAGGAGAGCTATAGCGAATATGATCAAAGCTGTTGTGTCTAGAATGTTATGAGCTCGAATCTCACCACAGCAGTTCTCATTGTTTGCACCCAGGGGGTTGTTGTTTTTTCGCCAACTTTTGCTAACCAAGGCCTGCGAAAACCACAAGTTTCGGTCACAAACAAAACAATCAAATCAAGTCAACTAAGAATAAGTATTCCCATTCAGCTAAAAACCAGAAGCCATCGTCAAGAGCAACCATCATCTTTCAAGGTCAACAGCCGCCTCAACCTGATAACTTCCATCCGCTATCCCTCCACCATCATGCCAACTCCTCAAAAAAAGAGCAGCTAAAAAAAGGTGAGCAGTCATTGTTACCCAACAAGCCCAAAAAAGAAGATTAAGTTTCATAAGCCATTACATGATCCCCCCCCCTCTCCACCCAAAAAAAAAAGACATTAATCTTCAGTACTAATCCCTCACACGTTTTCGCACACTTCCTCAAATTTTGGTCATTAAAATCTTCCCAGGGAGTCCATCTGAGGGTTTCCCGTCATCATCAAAACTGCACCGGAATGATGCTGTTCAAACCAGGGAGGACACTTCCGACAGTGCCGAGGATGCTCTGGAGCAGACCGCTGATGGGGCTGTTGAAGATGAGACCGCCGACGGTCCCGCCGATCCCGGTGCCGCCAATCACCTCGTTGAGGAGACCGCCGCCACCAATGAACCCGCCGAGACCGCCGCCGCCGACCGGGCCACTAGACAGAAGACTGGTGAGGAGGTCAGTGACCAGCTTCAGGATGCCAGAGACGATTCCAATGGGGCCGCCGGGCCCACCACCGAGGACTCCGGTGGTGGCTTGACCGACGAAGGGGAGACCATTCAAACCGGAAACACCGGGGAGGACGAGACGAGAAACACCGACCTTGAGATCCGCGTCGAGCTGCTCGAGGGGGGCGCGGACGGCCTCGGCCTTCTCCTCGGGCGTCTTGTCGGCAGCCTCAGCCATGGCGTGCTCTGGAAGAATCGGGAGGTTAGTCATGTTGCAGACAGTACAAAGAGAAAGAAGGGAGCTGCTTACTGATCTTCTCGAGGTTGTCCTGGAAGTCGGTCAACAGTTGGGTGAGAGCCTCCTGGTTGATCTGGCTGTTGAGGGCAGCGTAGTAGTTGGCCACGCTCTGGGCATAGGCGGCGCTGCGCTTTTGGATGGCAGCGGCGGCGTCCTGGGAAGTAGCCTGGACAGTGGGGAAAGAAGCCCCAGCGGGAGCGGGGGTGGAAGAGAGAGGGAGGGGGAGGGGGAGAGCGGCACCGCCCCAACCACCACCGACGAGACCGCCGACGATGGGGACACCGCCGGCACCACCACCGCCGCCGCCGAGGCCGCCGAGAAGACCGCCAACAAGGGGAAGACCCTGGAGGAGGGGTCTGAGAATGGGGAGACCACCGAGGAGAGGACCAAGGATGGAAGACCACCACCGCCGCCACCGCCGGTAAGACCACCGAGAAGGCCGCTAAGGAGGGGTCCGAGGATCGGGATGCCGTCAAGGAGCTGGGCCTCGAGGGCGGCCTTGATCTGAGCCAACTGCTGAGCCTGCTGCATCTGCTGGGCCTGCTGGGCCTGCTCCTCTGGAACAGGGACAGCGATGGCAGTGCCAGCGAGGACGAGGAGAGGGAGAGTGGCCTTCATGATGAAAGATGAAGTTGCTTCTGTGTGGTCGCGGTCTGAAAGAGACGGCCTGGAGTTGGAAGTGAGTGGTGTGTTTGTGTGTGAAGGGCCGGATGGTGAGGAACAAAAGAGGTTTCGGGATCGTTCAGGTCCTGCCGTACTTATACAAAAATCGAGAGTGGTTCTCGGTCCGCAGAAACCACCTCCATCATTGCACAATCTGCTGTGATCGGTCCAACTCTCGGCGCGGTCTAGAGTGAGATGGTATGCTCGTTGTTGAAGATGTGCTGCAGGAACGCGGGAATCAGGGGCTGTCTCAAACTTCCTTGGTCAAAAAGGGGGGCCTGGAATGCTGACGGGATCGTGACCCCAGAGTCAACACAACAAAAAGTAGGGTCATACCGTGCCCAACCTTCTTCGCGGCACTCTCCGCGGATATCTGAAGAAAATATCATCAACTGTTGAAACCTAAAGCCGTTCAAGGGTTCGGTTTGGGTGAGATGGGGGGCGGGAACAGTTCCAGGTGACCAGGTTGGAAGAATGCGGGTATTGCGGGATTCGTCCCGTTCCGAGATGATCAGTCGGGTCAAAGATGGCAAGATCAACTCTGGACCGCCGTGGAAGAGGAAGGTGTGCCTGGTCTGTCGTGCTGTACTTGATCTTGCACCTGTCTCTGTGAGGAGTTGGATTTTCCTCCAACAACCAACTCATCCTCGCCCTCACCTCAAGATCACCGCCCACCGGTCTTCAACATACCTCGATCAACGAGCCATGACAGTCGAGCCAGAAGCTCCGTCAACGACAGACGCAATAGACTCGAGGCGATGGAGGAACATGCCCGGATCGTACCCATCACCGACTCAATCGCGGCCAGACTCTCCCATGCCAACGTCCAACACCCCGGCCAGCGATAGCCCCTAGAAAGGTACTCCCGATGCCACAACCGACAGCAGACAATCCATCACCTTCTCGCCCCTCTCCCAAAATCCCAGCAGTTCGCCGGCCTCGATTGCCTACTTCTCACGAGCTCGCAGTGCTGCCTCGTCCCATGCCCAACTCGGGGAACCTTCAATAGCATCCAGCTCATGCTCTGCTGCCTTTCGGCCAGCCCTCTCATGGACCACACATCAGGGCACCCCGTTCAGTTTCTTCAGCGCTACCAAGTCACCAGACCATTTCATTGTCGACTTTTCGGACCGAGCCCTCTCCTCGTTGGCAACCCCTTCGCCACCTGCACGGTCAACCGCCCCCCCGTCAGGGACAGAAAAGACTACGCCATCACCACCACCACCACCCAAGCATTCCATCAAGGGTAGGGCGAAGCGGCGGAAGAGCAGGGCCCTCAGTTTCTTGGACCCAGACCTGAGATTTGCGCTTTGTCTCATCTGTGTATGGGCCTGTCTCTTCTTTTCGTTTTGCAGTCTCTTCTTGGTTGGATCTTGCTGGGGATGGTGGGGAGGTCGCAAGAACAACCCCTGGTCACCCGATCGTTCATGTATCAAGCACAAATCTCTCATGAAGCAATACGAGGACCAACGCGAGCTGAGGCAGTACGGTGTACGACAGCCAGTCATACACGCAAATGGCCATGGCGGACCTTCTGGGCCTCGTGGCTGATGGGATGGAGAACATGTGCCTTGAAAGCAGCGCTAGAAAAGCATACATCAGTAGTAAGATTGATAGTACGTACGAGAGCTTGACTCTACTCGGATTGCTCATCTTTCAGTGCCATGGCAATACAACTAAACCTCAAGTCTTGCCCACCAGACTCGTGTTCCAACTTGATTATCCTACCCAGACCTAACTCCAACGCCTTGGGGCTTAGGACGTCTTCGTCATCCCCTAGCTCACCCCTGTCCAACGGACCCTCTCTGCTCCCTTCCAACTCCCAGAGCCGTCCGTTTGCTTTGACGTAACCGACGAAATGTTGGCCTAGCCCTACGGACCTGTCTCTTGGCTCGGCGGTATCGCCCATTGCCGCTACGGATTGGTGGGCCTCTTCAAATGCCTTGTTGTCGTACAATAATTCTGCACGTTCTTCTCTTGGCAACGGGGCTGCGTCCTTGCGAATTTGATCGAGGGTGCTGCCGGGATGGATGAGGGAGGCGGCGGGGCCGTTGATAGAGCAGTGGAGGAGGGCGTAGGAGCCGCAGGCGTCGCCGATGGTTTGTTGGAACCATATTATGGGGGCTGAGGAGGAGGGGTTGCTGTTGCCGTGGTAGTAGGTTTTGGGGTCGCCGAGACGGGCGTCTTCGGATTGGCGGTCGAGGGCCCAGGAGGGGGTGAGGGGAATGATGGCTATGAGGGCGAGGCAGGGGCGGGGGATGTGGGCGAGGGCTGGGGGGGAGAAGGAGTAGATGTCGTGGAAGGTGATGGAAGGGGGGAGGCCGAGGGTGTGAGCGAGGGTGGTGAAGACTTCGGGGTGGTTTTCTGGAAGAGGTTAGTGATGAATGTTCGGGGAATAGGGAGAATATGAGGTGTGTACCGAGCATGGTGAAGTATTTCTTCTCGGTGGCCATTTTTGCTGGTTCATTCGGTTCCACTATGAAGTCTTCAATTGCACACTTATGAAACACGCTGAGGTTGCAGATTTGGTAGAAAACGAGCGATGAATTAATTGACTGCTGTTACAAGAAGTAGGGCAGGAGCGGTGTGAGCACGTCAGTCAAGACAGGAAGGAGTACGCAGGCGTCGCTGCCTGGGAAGCTCTGAAGCTCGCCCACCTATCAGTCCACCCGGCCAGCTCTCCCCCGCAGCTTCATTGCAATTTCCCTTCTCGTATAGGACTCTTCTGCCTTGTCATTAGTTTGCTTCTTGTGTGCTTGGCATCCTTTCAAATCTGGCGGACATTTATCACGGCCATAGGTTCTAGGATATGGGGAATGGAGGCATGGAAAATGGAAAAGTGACTACACCCTCATGTTTGATGTTGACAAGATATCTCACATGGAGCTTGAGGGCCAAATCAAGTTTAGCGCACGATCTCTGGGCAAGCTCGGCAAGCTCCACCCCCGCATTTTCGGTGGACCCTGGACCCTGGCCATTTGCCCCACATCAACGTCGATCAACGACGACGACAACGATCCATATGACATCCCAAACATCCCATCAAGAGACGATGAAGGTCACGATAAGTGATATGATGTAGGCTTTAGCAGTCTCAAGTCGCCCATGTCGACGTACTGTTGACAAGCTAGAGCAGCCTTTTCGTCATTGACGGTTGAGGCTGGATGAAATCTAACGATTCAATGTAGCTCAGTTACTTGGCACATTCTGTCGCCTCAGGTGCACGATTCGGCATGTCCGAGATCTCAGTCCAACTCGGCCTCCAGATCGCACCTCCCATGATCGTGCTTTGTAAGGCGCATCCAGCACGGCCATATTTATCTGATGGAAACACGCCGCACAGCACCTACCGGCGCCGAAGACAAAGAAACTGCTGACCGGTGGTTGGTTATCCATCCATTCGCAATCCGTGGTCCTCAATTCAAGCCCCAGAGCTTTGCTTTAGGTAACCAAGTTGGAAACAGGGCGGGGTCAGACCTTCCTATGCATGTACACAACCGTTTCCATGTACATGCATCAAAGCCCTGCTTATCACCACCACCCAAGGTAACACTTGACAAACGATGACATGACCTCCCGGACCCTGGGAAGCTCCGTTCTACCTCTCCCAGTTCCCACACTAGTAGGCCACTGCCCCGGACAATTATTTGAAAACAAAAAAAGAACGTTGCTGCTGGCTTGCATGACACCCACCCCTTCAGGGTCCAGAAAAGCGTCAAGTCCATTGATGAGATCATCATGATTAGCTCACCCCCGGTCCCAATCGCAAGGTTCCAGCCCATGATCCATGATCTGAGGTAGGTAGGTAGCTTAGCTTTCCACCTCCGCTGAGAGACCGTCAGGAGTGGGCAGATGATAATGCAGTCGCACGCACCCCTTCTTTCTTCTTAAACCCCGCTCCTGCCCACAAATCTTTCCAAACCTTTCTTCTGTTCCCCTCCAAGCTCAACTCGAATACAAACACATCGTGAACACAAACCAGGGCTTTTCAACGGAGAGCTCTCTCAGGATCCACCTTTGTCGATAGTGTAAAACCCGATACTCGTAACACAATATTAACCGATTCACCTACCTCGAGCTATCCAAGGAAGCTCACCCTAACCAGCCTCACCCATCACCACCACAACAACAACAAGACAGCATGGCCGATAACATGCCCTCCGGCCCCGAGTTCCGCACCGGCCGCGCCGATTCCACCTCTTCTACTTCCTCCACCAGCACGACCAACACCGTCAACTCCAGCTCTGGGATGCCCAAGGCACCACCTCGCCGGGTAAGTTTATTTTCCAGCAAACCAACACAACAGCAGAGTACTAATCCCTCCCAAGAGATCAAGCCACCTCTTCGAAGGCCTCGAAGCCCAAAAACGCTCCCAAGACCCGGCCGCAGTAGCAAGACGCCAGAGCATGAACGAACAACGGCCCAAGTCGGGCTTCATCGGCAGCATGTGGAACAAGTATGTCCTTTCCCCTACCATCTCATCTTCCACCTGTCTAAGCTGACCACCTATCAGCTGGGTCCACGGCCAGTAGTAAAAATACTATACTGCTCCCCTCGGGGAGTTCATCAGAGGGCATGAAAAAGTCCCTCCTTGCTGTTGTTTCCGTTACAGGGTTTCGTTCGGGTCTGGTGTTCTTCTGATCATGGATGGCAATGCGGAAAGCACGAAAGCCTACCTACCTACTGCTGTTTTTTTTTTTTTTTTGCAACTAATATTTCTCTTGTCTGACAACAATGGCAAACTGCCCAAGACTGTTTTGCTTATCATACCTTACCTTACTTAATTTGATAAATGCGGAAAAAAAACTACAAACCTTGAATTAATCTGTCAGCTGCCCCTTTCTCATAGGGAGAGACGTTGTTTTTATATCAAACTTGGTACCTACTTTGGCCCGGCGAGTTGTGACCCCCTCTTCCCAGACGAACCTTTCATTAATCTTGTCCAAGGCTGATACTCCTACAGCATACGATATTCTTTTGAAAGACATCACTTGTTATCTCTAGTAGTCCCGACAGACACCCCCCGATAAGATCAACACCCAAGTCGACGTGAATGCCCTTGGAATTGCCCACTGAGATGGATGTATCGCATGCGTTTGAACATAACACAGCATGTTTGCCAAACTATTTCCCCCCGGCGGTCTTGAAATCAGGAAAGGGTTGATTGCCTGAACAGGGCCTTGTTTTGATTCATCTCAACTAATAATTACCCGCCTCTTGATCAAGCCACCAAGTAATACCAAAGCCGTAAAGTGCTTCAGAGGCGGTGCTTGCTAGATATTTCCAATACACAAAGAAGCCCATCCTCTACAAACCACCTAGCTTGTTAACTTACACAATGTGGTGATACCGGCGTCTTCTCTTCCACATGCTGGTTTTTTGCTGTGGGGAGCGTGGTGTGTTGATGAGCATTGGAACAGAATGGTGAAACTGGCTCGGATGGTGGGTGCGCAGCAAGGTAAACAACACAACTGTCAACCTGTTGCCCTACTGTTCACCAGGTAGTTAGCCGTCTGCCAGCTCACCTACATACAACAAGGGTGTCTGACCAAGGCTGGTGCTCGCAAAGATTGAGATTGGTTAGGGTCCGGGTAGGTGGGAGGAGATGGTGGTGCCGTCGGACGGGATGCGATTATGGGGGTGTGTCGCTCAGGAAGAGGGATGTTGGATGCGGGCACGATCAGGAGGAGCAGGATTGGCGTTCCAAAAGGGAACGGTGAAGGACAGAGCATGTTTGGGCAGTTCTGGGCAAGGCACCACGGGGAAGCGAGGCAGGGAAGCGTGTTCAAGAGGGCAGGCAGGGAAGGTGGGAAATAAAAGCGATCATTATCAAACCTCGGGTCCGTGAACTATAAATGAACAAAACCCCTCAGAAAATATTTTGCCGGGCAGAAACTGTACGAGATGCCAGAGCTTTTCCACCCTTCTCCCAACACCCCCAACGCCGTCCAAAAGTCGAAAGGAATAGGGGAATTATCGTTTGGTGGCATCGACCGGACCTGTGTTAAAAACTCGTTTCGTTCGGTTACATCCGGTGCTTTTCGTTTTCTGTGGTGGGTTAATCAATTAGTTGCTGGGCTTGAACTGGTGCTTGAGGCCTTGTTGGAGCTCACCAAGACGAGTGTAGAGCATGTATAGCGCCATCTTGTTGCATTCATCGGTACCAGTGATCGTGACAAGACGCTCGTTGCTGTTGTCTTGTGGCTCGTTAATCTTGATGACGCTGCCGCTGATCTGACGGATCTCGTTGATCTTCTGGCCACCCTTGCCGATGATGGCGCCAACCATATCATTGGGGATGTAGATTTGTTGAGTCATAGGTCCACCGGCCGCGCCACCAGAGCCAGCTGCCTGCGGACCGTGAGGACCGGTGTGGGGCTGGGGCCCAACATGTCCGGCGTGTCCGGCATGGGGTGGCATGTGGGGGGCGGCAGGTCCGTAACCCCCAGCAGCCTGAGCACCAGCAAAGTGCATTGGGACCGCGGGGCCAGGATGTGCCGCCTGAGGATAAGCGCCATATTGAGGCGCGCCACCGTAGGCCTGGGGCGGCATGTGGTGGGCTCTAGGGTCCGGACGGCGGTTGTTGTAGTGGTCGCGCTGACCAAAGTTTCCGCCGGCGGGTTGAGGGACGTATGGGACGACAGTCATGCCACCTGTGACGGCAGCAGGACCGCCGCTGCGGGTAGCGTATGCAGAGGCAGCAGCCCCGCCAAAGCGCTCGTTGAGCTGCTCCAAAAGGGTGCTACCGACATAGTATGTGGCGATGTGTACAGCGTCAGCAACGCCCGTGACGACCAGAGAACGCTCCGAAGACGCGGGGAGGCAGGAGTCAGAAGCGTTCAGGCGGGCACCAGAAGCTTCTTGGATCTCCTTGATGCGAGACCCGCCCTTCCCAATGATGGAGCCGATCAGAACATGGGGGATCAGAAGACGCAGGGGATAGGTCTTGGAGTGCTGGTTGGAGGGCTCAGACAACGGCTCGTTGTTAAGGGTGCGGATAATCAAGCCAAAGGCCTGTGCAATGTTGTGTTAGTTGAGGCTAGAAATCAAGACAGAATTGAAGCAGCATACCTTTGCAGCAGCATCAACAACACCGCTGACAGTCAGAATACGCTCAACGGCGCCCTTCTGATAGTCACTGACAGTGCACTTGGCTCCTGACGATTGTCTGATCTTGGACACATTCTCGCCGCCTTTCCCGATTATAGTCGCGGCTTCGGGACTTGAAATAACGGCGCGGATGTGTATCCAGGCAGTCTCATCACGAGACTCTGCAGGGGGGTTCGCCTGCGCCTCAGACGAGGCGGTATCCACCGTGGTGCTGGTGGTGGGCTTTGTTTCCGGAGCATCGGGGACGACTGTGTCACCCTGATGGTCCGTCGCCTCGGGCTTTTCGCCGTTCGTCTTCGCCGTGCCGTTGGCCTCAGGGGCCGGGACGGAGGAGGCGGTCTCGTCGTTCAAAGGAGAGATGGGGTCGGCCTTGTTGTCCTCCTGCTGCTCCTTGATGACCTTGTCCAAAGCCGGACGTTTGGCCTCGGGTTGGTCGTTGCGGGAGGGGGACGACGTGTCCTCGAGAGGACGCTTGGTGGACTGTGTTGGCTGGGGAGAGGCGGACATGGTGAAATACCTAATTAAGTGATCTCTTTTTGTTTAAGGGGGAGGAGGATGACTCTTGTTTCACTTTGGAGAGCAAGCCGTTTGCTCAATGTCGGATTCTCGAAGGTATTCAATTGAATATTTTATGTTGTTATCTACACCTGAAAGGGTTTTCGAAGAAAACGGGCTAGGTGTAGTGGCGGGGGCGGGACTGGACTGGGCCGTGAACTGAGGATAGGCTTGACTTGGGCCGGGACGGACTGAAGCTAGGGAGTTCGGGTTGGGTGATGATGGCTTGTCAAAACAAGGGGACGTTGTGGCTTGAGAGGGCGTGCAAAGATGGAGTGTGTGATCCAGTGCCAACTCAATCGGTGCTGCGCGACAAGCTACAAAGCACTGTGGCGAACTGACGGAGACTGTGATGGAGGCGCGACGGGCTGCGGGTGAAGTGCAAGTGGAGTAGTAGAGGAGGTGTTGTGTGAGTGTGCTGATAAAGGCAGGGTGAAGCAGTAGGTGAGGCAGGTGAGGCAGGTAGGTGAGGTAGGTGGTGATGGAGGTGGTGGGTGACGGGAGTCAAGGCAGCAGGGTCGGGTGGTTCTTGCGGAAAAAAGCACCTTGAGGTATCTCAAACCTTTTGCCTGTCAAACCGGGCGCTCCGTTTCAACTTGCTCTCTCTTTGACCTTCCGTTCCCAGCTCAGCGACAGCTGTAGTGGGATGCCACGAGTGTCGATGTGTTTGGTGTGTGGAATGCGACCGATGCGCAAGGCAGCGTGCAGGATTAATATCGAAGAGGCAAACCGATCGATGCGGGAGACCGATGGATACCGTGTGAGTGGGAGACGACGGCACGGGGTAGGTGACTGGTCGGGTTCTGTGGCGATGATGAGTTTTCCACGTTCAAAGGGATGAAGGAAGGAAGAGAGGGCAGGTGGAGGAAGAGGTCGGGTCGGTGTCTCGAAATAATCGAGTTTTGGCTGAGAGGGACGGAAATGGAAGCGAGACCCAGCGTTTCGCAGCCAGCCTCGCTGGGCGGTGGATGCCCTTTCACCGTGCACTCTTCTGGCCACAGCCGGCCGATGTTCTAATTTGGCGGTAATAGTGGGGCAACCATGTCGCGCTCGGCTTCGGATTGGTCCGCCAGCAAGCCAACAGTGGAACGGTAGCAACGCCTCTCTCACCAGTCCTCCATTTTAATTTACAACTCTCTTAAACGCATGCTGCCCCCATGATTTGTACGACATATTTGTTTCGTCTACCCGATTCTTCTATTGTGACATATTTCTCGGCAGCAAATCTATCGAGCTCCCGATGTCTTCTTGGAGGGCGGAATATGAAAGAGTAGAATTACATAAAGCTGCGGCTGAAGAAGCGTCACGAGTCTCCGCGGACCTCCACATTCACAATTCAAGATCTTCTATTTTCCATCCCACCTGTCCCGCTTCCCGTCTTGCCGCCGCCCTACGCGGAGACCTGATCCTGTTGTCCGAGCCCAATGGAGTTTGAATATGACAACCCCGCCAGGGCCCACGAGGCCGACATGGAGCGGACTATACAGGAGCTCAACAAGAGAAAGAGAGAGCTTGAGGAGGCAATCCAGGAGGTTTGTGCCGTTCCCATATGCTGTGCCTCACCCTGCTAATTCTTCTGCAGTTACGGTCATCTTCAACTGTGCCGGACACTGAGCCCTCACCAGAAGACACACTGGAGATCTTTACCAAGGCATATGAAGAAGTTGCCGAGTCCAAACCGTTCCTTCCTGCGCCAGGCTCGGTTCTGCCAGCCCTGCTTGCCATCAGGAACGCACGCAACACAATAAATGAGTCCAATGAGTATCTGGAATCAAAGGCGAAGTCACAGGATGAGTTGGCTCGAAAATTGGAGGCCGAAAAGACGGCCCTGCGAGAGCAACAGGCGCTGAAAACAGCTTTGGAGAACCGTATTCAATCTCTACGGGACGGGCTCGAGAACAAGCAAGAAAAGACGCCGGAGCAGATGGCCAAGGAGCGCATTGCCGAGCTCAAGCGACAAAAAGAGGAGTGGGAAAACAGAACAGCCAAATTAACCAAGGACCTTGATTGGTTCATTGAAGAGCACTTGGGGCCTATGTTGGCAGCCGAAGAGCTCGGCGGGCCGGTTGTTGGGCAGCTGACGGACATCGACCCTGAAGATCTGAGTGCTGGCTTCAGTGCTCAGGGGAAGCTGAAAAAGGCTAAAGACCAGCCAGACATTGACAAGCGACAGAGACGAATAGACGAGATCTGGGGAGCTCAGGACCAGCAAGGCGAGAGCAACAAGAGAAAACGAGAGGAGGACGAAGCATCTGCTGCGGTTGCTGACATTAGGCGTCTCATTGAGCAACTGATGAACAAGCTGGTGGAGTCACAAGGTGACAACTCGGCAAGCTACTTGAAGATATCCAAGGAGACAGCCGCGGTCCGGTTTCTCGTCCGATCCAAGGTCGCCTCATTTCATCCCAAGGATGCACAAAAGTTGCGACTTGTAGATTTCGGGAGGGATATTGATGATTAGTCATTCAGGGGTCGTAGGAAGCCGTTACATGTTGCAGGCATCACAGCCACGACGATCTTCCGTTTCAATACTGTTCCTCAGTTGAATCATAATTCGCCTTTGGGAATGCGATTCATATCATCACCATCGACAGGCTCCAATGACGTTGTGGCATGTTCGCCCCAATTGACCAATGAGATGCTACATGACTCACCCAGCTCCCTCCCACCCCTTGCATTTCAATTAAGCCAACGCGACGCGTTATCCAAAACGCAAAACGCGTCTCCCATTTCCCAATTCTTCCCACTACTAATATTACTGGCAAGCCTCCAAGAAGAACATGCGAAAAGCTGCATTTGCCGTTTGCCAACGACTATCCAACCAATTACGACTAACCACACCTTCTCACCACCGTCATCATCCCCTGCTCTCATCCACCACCAGCATCATGACTGCCACCGTCCGCAACGATCCCATAGTCCCCACTTCCCCACCAGCAGCAAAGCGTCTCAAAACCGACACCAACGTTCCTGAGGAGGCGACCTCTTCCTCTTCCACCACCACAACCACAACAAAAGACACCTCCACTACCGCAGAAGGAAACACCACGACCAATTCCGCCACCAGAACCACAACAACAGCCACCACAATGGCCGCCGAACCTGCTGCCGTCCCCTCCCTCCAAGTGAAGAAGTTGTCCTCCACCGCCCGGCTGCCCACACGGGGATCTGCTTTCGCGGCGGGATATGATCTTTATGCGTCAAAGGACACGACTATTCCTGCGAGGGGAAAGGCGCTGGTTGATACGGATATTAGCATTGCTGTTCCGGCTAATACATGTAAGCACCCCCAATACCCTACTCCAACCCCCCGAACTGAAACATTTTGCTAATGTGTAACAATGTAGACGGGCGCATCGCCCCCCGCTCCGGCCTGGCCGCGAAGCACTTTATCGACACCGGCGCCGGTGTCATCGACGCTGACTACCGCGGTCCGGTCAAGGTTCTCTTGTTCAACCATGCCGATTCCGACTTTGAGGTCAAGGAGGGGGATCGGATCGCGCAGCTGATTGTGGAACGGATTTTTACCCCCGAGGTGGTGGAGGTTCAGGAGTTGGAGGAGAGCGTGAGGGGGGCGGGGGGGTTTGGGAGTACGGGGGGTTTTGGGGCGGCTGCTGCTCCTGTCGTTAACTAGGCTTTTGTTTTGATGATGGTTAATAACAGTTGGAGTTGGGTGTGAAAGTCATTTTGTCTTGTCAAGAAGCTGGTTAAGAATGATGGGCTCATTCAGGGATACGGCAAAATATAATCAAATTTGTAATCCAACAGAAAAAAATCATCGTGGTATATTCCCAACAGCAAAAAAGATATTCTATCGTACGCTTTCTAAGAGCTTTGCGTCGTCTAGGCCACATCCTCCCTTTCTACTTGATCCCATTCAAACCCTCACTCCTATTACTCTCCTTAAACCCACATCCTATTGTTTACAACCTCCTCGCCCTAAAAACCACCTTCGGCCCCCTCAAACTATCCAAATGCCTCACCAGCTTCAGCTCGGCCGCCTTGCTCTTCAGCACCTGCATCTGCTTCTTCCCTACCCCCCCCTC